GACTTGCGATCAGAGTCACGGAACGGATTAAGTTCGTAAGTAGAGGTACCACTGTACTGTGGAATTCCACCAGGGACTGGAGAAAAAAAAAAGCCTGGGTTGTTGATTTTTAAATGAATATGAAAAGATTCCCTTACATGTATGGCCAAAGCCATTTGTGCTGAGAAAATCTGATTTCACCTCTACGGTACTTGTTTCATGTATCTGCTAACTCAGTAGGTGCCTTAGGGACAATCTATATTGCTTTAAATTGGTGGCCAAAGACCTACATAAGATTTTCTGCTATAAAAAGTGCTGTGTTTAGAATCATGAAGCCTAGTCTCCCCGCTGACCTAATCTGATTAACATGATTATCTAATCAGGTGACTCATATGAACCAAATTACTGTTTGTTTGTTTGTTTGTTTGTTTGTTTGCTGCTTATGGCAGCAGGAAACAAGTGATCTCCATGGGATCAATGGGAGAAAGGGGGACAAGGGAGAAGAAATGTTTTGAGTGTGGTGTTTTGAGTGAGTAAATAAGTAGAGGCGTGTATATATCAATGAGTATGTGGATATATGGTTTCCAACCCAAGAACTTGTATGCCTTTTCCTTCAGGTAGATTGTCCATCCATGCAATACATTCTGCTTATTTATTATTAGATTTATATCCTACCTTTATTTTGTTCAATTCAAGATGGCGTAATAATATTCCCACTTCCTATTTTCCCCACAACAACACTGTGAGGTGGATTGGGCTGAAAGAGAGTGTCACCCAGCCAGCTTTCACGTCTAAGGGACAACTAGAAACCACAGTGTCCCAGTTCCTAGTCCAGCATCTTAATCCCTCTGCTCTCTGCTTACTTATCTTGTAGTACAGTCAGGTAGAAGTAGATGTGAATACTTCATCTAAATGTTGCTATTAACAGGCTAACTTCCATACTTTTCTATCTGGCTCTAACTTTTTTCCTTTCCTAAAATGGATTTTTAGAAGTTGTACAATGGGTGGGATTTGGAAGCCAGTGTAACAAATGGTTAGGATGTTAAAGTGTGAGTAGCCTTGGGCAAGTCTTGCAGTCTGTTTTCTTTAAAACAGCGAAGGTATTTCTTTAAAATATCCTTAAATTATTTCTTTAGTACAGCGTTTCTAAGGCCCGGTCTAATTGTACAGAGAAATGTAAAGAGCACTATGTATGTTTAGTATTTAAACTATTGATAGTGATGCAAAGACATATTGTTGGGATTAAATTGCTAGGTTGGATAGCATGTAAGAACTTTACAAATTTATTATTTGTAGACCCAGGGACAGGAGATCTGTATGAAATGGATACATCTGAACTTGTGAGTGGCAAGTCTCCACTGGAGGACCCTCCTGACATTTCTGCCTTGGATTGTCCTGGCAGCCCGTCTCTCAACCACTCTGACTCCTTCAGCCTGTTGGCAGATGACAGTCAGCCTGATACCTCTCTTTTTGGAAGTGCCAGTTTGCCTCCTGTTCTTGGAGAGTCAGTTTTGCAAGGTGAGCAAGATCCATGCTTAAAGAAATTGCTATGTTTGGTGACTAGTGAAGACTGTTCTCTTCAAGCAATTATCTTTTGCTTAGTGCTTGTAAAAGGGGTTGTGGGATCCAGAGGTGAATACTTCCAAGTAATGATAAAAAAATTGCATAGATCTGGGGAAGGAGAGGCTAAATTATTTTGCAAATTTTGGGGACAGAGAACAATATTTTAACTCTATAAATGAGAAAGAACTCAACAAAATATGTGCAGACTGATTATAAACTTTTGGTATGGTTAGGAAGTAAATTAATTAGAAGGAGAGAAATCAAATTTAACCTTATAGAATTTTGGGAAAGTATTTATAGATCCTAGGTGACAAGGCTAAGTACTTGGGATCTATATCTCAAGTACTATATGCTGTTAACAGCTTATAGCATTCCACTAAGTGACTAGGAATGCAGTAGAAGTTAAGGCATGACTTACTTCCTGCAATGCTCAATGAACTATTTTCAGTTTCCTAAAATGTGTTGATTCCTCTCCTCTCTGCCTTTCTACTTACTGTTTCTTCTCTTTTCTACAGAGAGCACCCTGGAGCTGACAGGTGTGAGTGAAGTAGGGCAAGAGGACACAGAGTTTCTTGATTCACAGGCACCCCTTGAACCAGAATCTCTAAGTGCCTCTTTGGAAGAGTCAGTCAAGAGCAGTTGTCCAGGCAATCCTATACCCATAATAGACAGGGACAGCAAAGAAGCTTCAGCACTAAATGTGTCCACCAAAAGTAAGTAAATTCTTTATGCCTGTAAATCACCTTCATTGCCTTTAAAGGTAATTTAGTTGATAGCACTGGTAATGGTTGTTTGTTCTGATCAGGTGATATTCCAAGAAGGAGAATAGCCACAGTAGAAGAGGTGCGCTACCCCTTGAAGCATGGGTAGGTAGTCCCATTTTCCTGGCAGGAAAGGATTTTGCTTTTGAATGGTGCTAGTTCCTGCACAGCAAATAATATTGCTGAGTGAGGATGCAGGTTTCTAGTCTTTGATAGGCTACTCTTGTACTCAGATGGCGAAGGGAGGTGCGCATCAAGAAAGGGAGCAACCGATGGCAGGGAGAAACCTGGTACTATGGACCCTGTGGCAAGAGGATGAAGCAATTTCCAGAGGTGATCAAGGTAAAAAAATGTTTCCCAGACAGGGAGCAGTGGTGACTGATTTCTTTTGTAAGTGACTTTTCCATTTTATGTACTATTCTGCAGCACAGTTTTAAAATGATTCTTGAACATTTATTTAGTCTGCTGAGAGTAATGTTGCTTTTTTCTGGCCCAAAGTCCTCTTTCTTCTCTATTACCAAAGCAAAGAGAAATTGTATCAGATTGCCTTTCTTATCATGGATCCTCAGTCATTCAGTCATTTGCTGTAGCAACCACTTCTCTAGTTTTAGTGATAAAACTAAAGGCAAGTTTAGTATTGTAGAGAGGAGACAAATATGTACATCTACAGATTCTTCTTCCCTGGCCTGGCACCATTAACAAAATTGCTATTTCCCAGTTAGTCCTGAGGAGTAATTTGTCATCAGACTTATATTTGGGTAACAGCTAATGAACTTTTGCAGTATAGAAAACTCTGCTTAAGAACAAGGTAGTATGACATTCAGCACTATTTGTTTGCTTGACTTTATTATTGTTCTTTGATCCTCTGTTTCAAACTGTGGCCTCCTGTTGTCCAAGGCTCCTCCATTTCCCCATCGTAAACTCCAATTACTCTCAACCCTAATGTGTTGCATCCTCTGCCTTTTTTATCATATAACTTGCCTTCATCATCCTCTCTGTCAGAATGTGAATGTAGTTCCTGCCTGGAGCATTGGTCTAGGAATAAGATTTGCTTTGCTGTCTTTTAATTCTTCCTGCAAGGCACCAAGAAGAACTTAAGATTGTTCAACTGTTATAATATGCTGATGATGTCCAGCATGCACGTTTAGACTGCCTGCTTCTCTGGATGCTGATTCGGAGTATTTCATTAGGTCCAAAGATACCATGTTCACCTCAGAGACAGCCTCCATCTTAAGAAGAAACTAAGTGCTGTATAAGATCTTGATTGACACTCATTTTGTGTGGTTTATTCTCCCACCAGTACCTGAGCAGAAATGTTGGGCAGAGCGTCCGCCGTGAACACTTCAGCTTCAGTCCCCGAATGCCAGTGGGAGATTTCTTTGAAGAGCGAGATACATCTGAGGTAGATATTTCTGCAAGAGTAGGCATTTGCCAGGAACCACTGGCACCTTTTGATTTCTTAGCATCTGTCCTTCTGCCAGGGTTGTGCTGGCAAAATGCAGCATCCACTCATGGGGCCAAGTGCAAATGAAGTTTTTACAAGAGAGTAACTACATAGGGCCTGGTATCAATATTTTAAGTAAGGGAGGACATTCTTGTGAAGAACTGTATCTCTTGAAGCATAGTATCTGACATAATGGCATAGTAAACTGTGAGTTTGCAGCACATTGTTAGTCCACTCTTCCTTCTCCCCTAAAACTGTTTTTGACTTCTAGACCAAAAGTATCTGTTATGGGTGTGTATGGAAGGATTTGTTTCTGTGGATTATGAGGATCTGCCCTGTGCCCTCCAGGTATTGTGGACTTCAGCTCCCATCAGCACTAGCCAGTATGGCCAGCACAAGGGATCTCGACCTGTGTAAGCTTAAACATCTGCAGCATCCTTTTTTTCATTTCACAGGGCTTGCAGTGGGTAAAATTGACACCTGAGGAAATCCCTTCACGTATCCAGGCCATCACGGGTAAACGTGGCCGCCCACGGAATACTGAGAAGGCCAAGGCTAAGGAAATGCCCAAAGTGAAACGTGGACGGGGCCGACCTCCCAAAGTTAAAGTGCCTGACCTGCTGAGCAAGACGGACATCAGAGCTTTGAAAAAGCTGGAAGCCCAAGGTACCAGTTGGACCAGCCCTTTTTGCATGCTTGTAGCTTTCACAAGCAAACATTCTAGTTTGTGGCAGTGGTTGTTTGTCAGTATCTGGAGGAAAGGCTGTTCATTATGTGCAGCAAGAAAATTCAACTTTTGCTCTCAAAAATAATGCAAATCAACAAGATGCATGCAAATCTGCTTATTTTTCATTTGCATGCCTTTTCTGGAAACTGATGTGTGAGTTTTTGCAAAATTTGGAATTTCTTGTCAAGGAGCGGTGTGGCAGCAGGAAGAGAGGAACGGATAAGCAAGGGGCAGTAAGAATATATAGGTAAGAGAACATGACTGGAGAATTTGAGGGGAGGGGCAGGTAGCTGCACAGAAAATAAGAGCTGTGCCTTTCAGAGCTGGAAGTACTTGCAGGTACCATCTTCTTCCTAGCTCTCTCTCATGTTTCCACTGCAGTGAGGGCTAGAACTTTGTTTTGTTTTGTTTAAAAAGCTGAAAGACTTAGGATCAGAAATATAAATAGAATCCTTGTGAAGCGCACACATGAGTGCTCCATCAGTCCTGTCTTGTTGTAAGCAGCTTTAAAACAGGTCACACTTAATATTTTTTGGTAACCTTAGGACCATAGTAGATGAAGCAGTGATGCAAATTGGGTTGGGCTAGATTTTGTTTTGTTGAGTTGGGGAAATGGATTTTGTGCGGGTTCTTTATTTCTTAAACTATTCTAAGCCCATGGTGGGTTTAACACTACAGTTTCTGTGTGCTTCCTGGCTCAAAATGGTGTGAAACTATGTTACTAGTATTCAGTAAATATGGGTAGAGGATGTTCTGATGCCACACAGAAGGGGCTCAGAGGCCACATGCTGTCCTGGGGCCAGCCTGGGGCCAGAAATAGCCTACCTCTGCTTTAGTTGCAAGAAACATATAACCCTGTTGATAAGCCATTCTGATATCTCTTGAAGCATCCAGGGTGTCTTAGCTTCCATATTTATTATATCCTAAGCAGTAACATGCTCGTGATCACTATCATGAATGCTGAATGCTTCCTAATAAAGCTATAGCTCTGCCTGGGTGTCGTTGGGGAGAGCAATCTATCCACATTGATTTAATTATGACTCTTTGGGCTTACTGCCAATTTCTTGTGGGGAAGCCACTGTGCAGATACACAAGAGGTGGAGGCAAGTAGGGAGAGTTTTTTATTCACTATACAATGAGCTAGAATCCTCAGTGTCATATGTGTACATTATATCTTTTCTATGCACTTGATCTGACTTTATAGTCCACAGAGAGTTCCCTAGTGAAAAAAGGTATTATTTTTATTTTTATTAATTAAGTAGCACTAAAAAATCATGCAATAGGTGTGGAACTGGGCAGCATCCAGATTCATATTTGCTGCCAGGCCTGTGAGCAGTTTGCTCAGTATTTTGCGCTCTTAGATTATTTATATTCTTGCAGTTCACAAAATACCTTAAAAACAGCTCATTAATTTATGGGTAGAGTTATATATGGGTAGAGTTTGCAGACTTCATTCTTCATAATGGAGCATATATTAAAGAGATTTTTCATGATCATGAAAGCTTATTTAATGGCTGAAACAGTTAAACCTTGAGAAAGGAACAAAACTGTAGCTATCAAAATAGATTGTATTGTGTTCCTGCTGAGAATATTTCTTTCGGCCCATGTCACCAATATCTTTTGGAGAACTGATACCTTCCTATAAAGAATGAAGGTATTGTTAGACATCAAATGTAGAGCTTGTTTAGTCTCATTCTCCCTTTTTGTATTTGCAGAGGTTCTGAGCGATGAAGATAAGCTGAAGATGACCAAGATCAAGAAGAAAATGAGACAAAAGGTATGCAGAGTAGGAAAAAGCTGTGCATTCTGCTTAAGGCTGGGTCATCTCTGTAGGCAGCTTTTGAGATAGAAAAGGCAGTTCCTGAACTCAAAGGTCTGACAGGTTGGGGATAGTATTGTAAGACCTTCTTTCTTAATTACCAGTACAGTTGCAGATATGCAAAGGTTTGACAGACAGTCTATATTGTACACAGAAAATCCAAAACTGGAATGTATGTTCACATAACTCTTTCATATTTTAAAAGAATGAGGCATTGGGAGTAATGGTTATAATAAAAGGATTAGAGTAGCAGAAAAGAATTGAGAGCCAAAATTACCTGAATTTGGACATTGGGAAGGAAGGAATTTCTACAAATGTTTCTCTATATCTGTGAGGGAGGAAAGGAGATGCTTGTTAAAATCAAAGTACTTATAATGTCAAATCCTGCAATTCACTTCCTGGTGAATCTAAGTGATGTGAAGTAGATCCTGTCTTGGCTAGCAGAATGTTGAGGGTTTACAATGTCTTGGTTAGAACGTCAGACAGGCAAAATATGATGGATAAGTATATGCTGTAGAAGTTTGGGGAACCACTGCTGTATATAAAAATGGAGCAATTACTTTTTTCCTTGGTGTTTTTCCCTGTGTTCTCAGTATGCTTGCTTTCCTCTCTAGTTACAAAATAAGCAGAAGCAGGAAGCCAAGACGCCGAAGGCCAAGGAGGCCAAACCTAAGGAAACAAAAAAGAAGCCTAAGGTAGATCCCAACTGTGAGGGGTTCATTGAAAAGAAGGACAGTTGCCAGGTTGTGAATAACCTTATGCAAAGCTTAACAAGTTACCTTCTCCCCACTAGCCCCAAGTCAAGAAGGAGAAGAGTAAGCCAGAAAAGAGCAAGCCGGAGAAGCCAAAGGAGAAAGTGAAGTTGAAAGAAAAAGTGAAGCCCAAGGAAAAGAAAGTGGCACCATCAGGGAAAGCTCCCCGGAAAGTTGATAAGAATCTCCTTGCTCAGCGCCGTCAGGAAGAACGGCAGCGGCAGCAAATGATTTTGGAGGAAATGAAAAAGCCCACTGAGGATATGTGTTTAGGAGACCATCAGGTATGTTGAACTGCTTGGCCAGTTTTATGTTGTGGGGCATGGCTCCTGTTTCATTCTTCTGTTTCAAAGAGATCTTCTTCAATAAAGAAGGTTCATAGGGATTCCTGCACCAGAAGAATGTGAATGCTGCATAAATAGCACCTTCATCAATATGTCCCATATAATGATATTTCTTATTTGGTTTTATTTTTTAAATCTTTAGAGTATTTCCAAATGCATTTTATAGTGTACGTCAAGATTCCAGTTCTTAGAAAACATTTGATGTTTTGGGAGTATAGGAAAAATTGAGAAAAATAGTAATAGAAAGATTAACCTATGCAAATTGTTGAAGCTCTACCTAAAATAGAGCCCTGACCATCTCTTTCCTGGTTTCTGAAGTTCTACATAACTACATGTTCCATGAACTGGACAGTTATGACTAAATTGTAGCTGCACATTTAACTCCCACCTTTGTCTCTAGCATTTAAGGGAGCTTACTAATTTTGAAGGTGTTTTCAGCTTCTCCATACAGCAATCAATGGTATACGGTGCTAAAACTGCAGCGTAAAACACAAATACATTTTCCCTGATATTATGCAGGAAGAAATGTGCAGTGCACATAGTATAATTCCTCCTTCATGTCCGCTAGTCCTGGGATGGAAATTCTCATTGAGACTTTCCCCATCAGAATAACAGCACATTTTAATTCTAAGCACTTCCTGCTTAGTGTAACCCCAAAAAATGGCTGAGGAGGGGGAAGGTAGGATTTCAGTCGAAACTTCATCATACAGAGTAATGGATCTGAGGTTCTCCAGATTTATTTGCTGGTCTTACTTGTTGGCTAACTTTTATATCCTACCCAGCTTCAGAGTCTCCAGGACGCCAGTTTTCCATACCAAGTTTCATACTTGTGCTGTAAATCATGTATCTATAGCATAAGGTTTTGCAGGCTCTGTTTCTGCTGTAAGCTTTTGCATCCTTCTCATTCATGTTGCTGAACAAAGGAATCTGGATTGGTGGCATTGAGTAGCACTTCTGATTCTTCCAGGCAGTATTAGAAATACAGTGGTACCTCGGGATACGAACGCCTCTACTAACGAACTTTTCAGGTTACGACCAGCTCCGGCCG